ACAGGTGCCCGCCACAGCGCCCGGCCATTTTTTGGTTGCAGCCATTGTTGTTGTTTGGTGGGCCCGGGCTGGGGATTCGAACCCGCCACCTTAGGTGTATGTGGCTGGCGCCTTAGCTACTTGAGCCACAGGCGCCGAGCCTGGAGTCTCACTCTTATTCAGGCTGGTGTCCAACTCCTGAGCTCAGGGAACAAACCCCCACCACCACCCCCTGCCTTGGCCTCCCAGAATGCTAGGATTATGGGCATGAGCTTCTGCTCCCAGCCCCAAACTTTAAAATCTTAATTATTATTTTACCTTAGACAAAGCACACACACTCCTTATTCTTTTTTTTCCTTTGCCAGTTCATTTCATATTTTCATCATAAGTAATGATATAGCTAATAATTGTTTTAATATTTTTAGGGTTTTCAAGGACCACGTCAAGTTCCAAAGAAAATGGTTATTACAGGAAATTGTGAATCACCTGTATCATTTGAGGCTAAGAAACCTGGCTCTACTTTTTCTTCTTCATTCTACATCACACCTAGTTTGTTTTCTACTGTTGGCAAGAAAGATACAAATGATACCTCAACAGACCCTGAGAACATTGTGACTTATAAGGACAAAGAGAGAAATGACATGCCTTTTTCTTTAGGTGTCCCTGCTCCATCCTGCAAAATTAACCCAGAAATGCTCTGTGAAGAAAGTTATTTTTGCTCTGCTGTCAGTTCTGGAAGTAAGCATCCAGCCTCTTTACAGACCAATGAGCCAAAAAAAGGAGAGAATTTTTTGTCTCCCTCTTTAGGAATTACACAAAACATCAGAAGCAAAGCACAGATATTAGCTCTGCTGAAGTCCAAATCAACTAGTACAAGTAAGGAATTAGATTCAGAGATTACAGAACACTTTCCTCCAATACAACCACAAGAAGCTTTAAACATTACTACCAAACCAAAGTGCTTAATTAATCAGGAAAAATATGCTGAGATGAAGCGCACAGAAAATTTACACTGTTGGCATCAATCAGAAAATACTATGAGAAATGAAAACCAGTGGGCCACGTGTTTATCCTCACAGAGTTTACCTATACATTCTTCTATTGTAGGTGGAAGTGATACAGAAAGGAAACCCAAGCCTCAGGAAGGTGATATAAATTTGAATTTGAAAGAACTTTTGGTACAAAAAAGGACAAAGTTATTTGAAACATACACTGAAAAGGACGAAAGGTATAATATAGACAAGTCAGTAAATATTAATGATCAATCCTGGAATCAGGAAGTAAAATTAGAAAATCCTTCGTTTTGTGACAGTAACAGTTTACAGGTTACTTGTAGCAGTGTAAAAAATGATGGTGTATCAGAATCTGACATTCAAGAAAATAATAGATTATCTTCTAATCGAAATGACAAGCTGTATATAAAAGGATCAATTCTCAATAGAGAAGATGCTTGGGAGATAAATATGTGTGGTACATCAGAAAAAGGATGTAAACAACTGACATCTCTACTAGAATCGGAACATCTACAAATTGAATCTTCTCTAAGTAGCAATTCTAGGATCTCCAATGACATTACAGATGTGTTTTCTAAAAGTAAAACTGGTAATGAAAGTCTTGATAGTATTCATGAATCTCTAACTAATGTAACACAACCATTTTTGGAGGTAACTTTTGATCTGAACAATTTTGAGACCAGTGATACTGAGGAGGAATCACAGCAAAGCAGCAGAATTTCTCAGAATTCAGACAGTTGGATAAAGGAAATTTTGGTCAATGACAATTCATGTGTTCAAAAAGAAATTGGCAGTGAACATTTGCCACTCTTAACAGCTGGTGGCAAACCCACAAAGACATTTCCTGTTAAAGAGACTTTACCATTACAGTTTTGTGATACAACTTGTGTAGGTTTTGATCCAGGACCTTGTAAAGATGGAAATGATGGAAAAGGAATAGAGGACTATAGTGATATATTAAACACTTTTGATTCATCGTTAGAACGGACTAATGATGTATGTATAGATAATAAAGAAGATTCTAATAAATCTATCCAAAAAGTTAGAACTAACCATGATTTTGCTTTAGTCCCCAGTAAATCTAAAGATATAAGCACCAATTTACATATTCCTGATTTTTTAAACATAGCCACTGATCAAACTCATGAAAGCAATAATCTATTTTCAGAAGATGCTCAATCTCAGCCTTTTATTTTGGAAAATGACTTAGACAGAAGTGAACAGGTTTTACCATCAACCTCCAGAAGTGACAATAGCACCCAACTATTAAATATCAACCAGGATGACTCTGAATGTATTACTCTTGATAAACCAAATGTCCAAATTTCCAGTTCTTTGTTTTGCCCAGTGGGAAAAGAGCAACTTATTTCCGAAGACGCTGAAGCACATATACCTGAATCTGAAGATTCAGGAAAGATTATAAGTTTACCCCATGATCATATTGAAGCCAAAACTTCCAGAAAAAGCAAAGAATACAGGAATAACCCTAGAAATTCTTCAGAACTTTCTGAATTAGTAAACAACATTTCCCTTTTAAAGTCCCTGTCTGACCACAGTACTGCTTTAGATAGCTTGGAAATACTGAAAAAGGAAAATGCTATCCTTCAACAACAAGGAATTCAACAGATGCATGAGCCACATAGCAGTCCTGAAGGTTAGAATGGCATGTCTGTTTGGGGTTGTTCTCTTGTAGCTCAAAGAGAATACATTTGTTCTTGCTGCAACATTAAAGAATTATGTAGTGTTAATTAGGTGATGCATATACTTGGTAAAACCAATTATAATTGAGAATAATATAGTGAAAATTAAGTCTCCTTCCTACCACAATCCCTCAGTATACTCAGAATTAACTACAGTCTCCTAGGGTATCCTTCCAGAAATATTCTCTGCATATATAAGCTTGCATTGGCACATAGAAGCAATTATGTATATATATGTAAAATATGTGTGGACATATGTTGTATGTGTGTGTGTATTATTCATTTCTAGACATGTACTAGGAGATACTTTTTAAAAAGTGAATTTATATTGGTATCTTCAATTCCAATCCTATATTAGAGGGTGCTTCTTTCTTAAATTCTATACTTGTGTTTCTTTATTCTCAGAGTATGAAAGGGTTGTGATTCCCATCAACATCAGTAAATTTATTCCCCCATTTTGACAATACACACCAAATAGTTTCTAAATTGTCATACTAGTATTTCTTCTAGCAAGAAAACTCTACAAATTTATAAAGTTCATATATCCTTTGCAGTTTTTATTTTTAGGATATATACATATACATATATATTTTATTTATTTATTTATTTATTTATTTATTTTGAGGTAGTCTCTCACTCTGCCCTGGGTGGAGTCCTATGGTTTTATCATACTTCGTAGTGACCTCAAACTCTTGGGCTTAAGTGATCCTCTTACATCAGCCTCTAGAGTAGCAGGGACTACAAGTGCTCACCAGTGCACGCAGGTAATTTTTTTTTGGAAAAAAACAAATGGGAAATTTCAATACGATCATCACCATAAAAAGTTTTACTCTATTGTGAGTCCTTATTATATGCCAGGGACTATTCTAATTTAAACATATTTTATTTTTAACTTACTTGATCCTTACCACAACCATACAAAGTGAGTACTTTTACTTTCCTTATTTTACAACTGAGGGAACTGAAAAAGCAGTTAAGCAGTTAAATTTGCTTAATTCATCAGGCTAATAAGTGTTGGGATTCAAACCCAGCCAGTGTAGACTGTACTGCCACTTTATGAAAAA